CACAGCAAATGAGCCCAGAGGTATTTTCTGCCCCATCTGACGGCCCCCAAATTTGCTGTGTGTGCCTCAGGATTCACACACTGTTCTGGGGTCAGACACAATCATTTTCATTTCTTAAAAAAATATATTTTATTGATTTTTTACAGAGAGGAAGGGAGAGGGATAGAGAGTTAGAAACATCAATGAGAGAGAAACATTGATCAGTTGCCTCCTGCACACTCCCTACTGGGGATGTGCCCGCAACCAAGGTACATGCCCTTGACCGGAATCGAACCTGGGTCCTTTCAGTCCGCAGGCCAATGCTCTATCCACTGAGCCAAACCGGTGAGGGCAATCATTTTCATTTTAATGGTTCTATATTCATCCCAATCTGTGTTAGAAAAAAGATTAAAGATGTGGCCAGGACATGAAATCTGATGTGAATTGAAGGTGCTCAGAGCACTGTGTGGTCCTATCTACATGTGGATGCCACCATGAAGAACCATCTCCCTGCACAACTGACATTTCCCTTTATGCCTTTGTCTCCCCCATTGGATGGGAAGTGCCTTCAGGGCGGGACTTCGTCTCAGTAAGTGTTGTGTCCACCAACGTCTGCTGGATCCAGGACCTGATTGGACCAGGGAGGGCAATAAAAGTTTGCTGAACATCTTACTGACCTTCAAGAGTGTATCATTTCGCAAAAGGGAAATTGAGGTCCTTTCTACTCTAGTGGTTATTCCTGATCGGCACATGGGCTGGTGTCTAAGTGAGAGTGACACTAAAGCAAAAGAGGCATTGGAAAGTGTCCATTCTCCAGACTCTGGGAAGGCCTCATTCATCATCTTTGCTGTTTTAATGTACATGATGTCTTTTGTGGACATCAACATATTGTCACCCTAAAGGGTTTGTAAGTGTCTTTTGGAGAAACTTGGCATAGTATCTTTTTTTTTTTTTTTTAAAAAAAAGTGTTTTAAAGAGAAAGAGTAAGGGAGAAAGTGAGAGAAACATCAATTTGCTGTTCCACTCATCCACACGGTCATTGGTTGACTCCTGTATGTGCCCTGACTGGAGATCGAACACACAACGTTGGCTCATCGGGACAACACTGACCAACTGAGCCACCTGGCCTAGTTTACTTATTTATTTTAATCCTCATCTGAGGATATTTTTTCCATTGGATTCCAGAGAGAGGGGAGAGGACAGAAGGAAGGAGTGGGAGGGAGGGCAGGGGGGGGAGAGGGGGAGAGAGAGAGAGAGAGAGAGAGAGAAAGAGAGAGAAACATCAACATAAGAGACACATTGATTGGTTGCCTCCTGCACCCACCCTTACTGGGGCTGGGGAACCTTCAACGAAGGTATGTGCTGTTGATGGGGAATTGAACCTGAGACCAATTGATCCGCAGGCTGACCCTCTAATACAGAGGTTCTCAACCTGTGGGTCGCGACCCCTTTGGCGGTCGAATGACCCTTTCACAGGGGTCTCCTAAGATCATCCTGCATATCAGATATTTACATTACGATTCATAACAGTAACAACATTACAGTTATGAAGTAGCAACGAAAATAGTTTTATGGTTGGGTCACAACATGAGGAACTGTATTTAAAGGGCGAGAAGGTTGAGAACCACTGCTAATCACTGAGTAAAACTGGCAAGAGCTTATCCATGTCTGCTAATTTACCTAAGCAACCCCTCTGTCTCCAAATGACTAGAGAAATGGGGATCTGTGTCACCAGTTCTTGTGAACTTTTCTGCAGGAAAAGCCAGATACCAGTACTTCTGTGTTACTTAACTTCAGATGTCCAAGGAACCTGGACCGTGCCCTGTATCAAATGTACAGAAAGAACGTATTATCCCTTTGGGCCGTGCTGAGTTTTCACAGCAGGTT